CGAACTATAACGCACCTTATCTTTCTTCCCTTAAGCCAACTAAAAAAAGGGCAATTGCTTGATGAGAAAGCCTTTAGTGGCTATTTTATCCCCATTTATCCCCCAAGGTTTCAAGGATCCACGGTGACAGTATATCCAAATCTCATCCCATGATCACATGCACTACAAGATCCCAGCCCATCTACAAGAAAACCCTAATAGTCTTCCATTATTTCGAGAGAAGGGGATGATTTGAGGGTTAAGTGTATGGCTACGATACTATATACTAATATTAGTGTAGTGGGATTTTGGTAGCCATCGGATTAGTTTCAATCCAGACCACTTACTCCTGTATATAAGTTAATTGATATGCACATTTTCTATCTTCCTTTGCATATTCCAAGCACTCACAGTAGTTTTAAAATTTTACTAGTTTTTTCTTAATGTCTAAAAAGGAGAGGGTTTTTCTTTAATGTTAACATGGGATCTATGTATATGTAACTATGATTTCAGTACTTTTCATTTTCTCTTTGGTTTTTTTTTTATTTAGTAAAATTTTGCAATGGTTTTTAATTTAACATTACTACATCTAATGATTAAATTTGTTCTAAATATTTCTGCAATGCAAGTTAACTTCAATTCATTGAGCCAAAGTTTTTTTTTTAAACTGTTTTCCTATTATATTTTAAATACATTTTTGCAACAACAAAGATTTCATAATGGTATTTTTTTCATAACTTTATTATCACTACCTCCTCAAAAAAACTAACTCTAAAATGGACATGGCTAAGCCTAGGATAGCCATTATTGTGCTCAAATCTTGATCACCCTTGCTCATCATGTTGTTCCCAATCCTCCCCCTCTGCCCTAGCTCCCACAACCCCTTCTTCTTGCCCCTGCTGCTGCCTCCCAAGACGTTCCATCGCCCACAAACCATTTTTCCTGCCGTCCATGTCATTGTCCCGCTTCACTTTGTTTTACGTATTGACCGCTACAGCACGTGCCGCTAGTGGGGAATATATAACAACGAGGAACCGGAGCTTTGAGATATCGCTATGGCGGGAGCTAAGGTTTCTGGCGCACTCCTTCTCGCGGTGTGGGGCTTGTCGTGCTTGATCGCCGTCACGGCGGTGGAGGTCGTGCCGCTCAAGAAGAGGCCGCTCACGGCCGAGCGCCTGAGGCTAGCTGTGAAGTCCGTCCCTCGCAAAGCACACGCTCTTGGCTTCCACAATGTGCGCGACGCGAATTCGCTCACCAAGAACGGCAGCGTCCCGGATATCGAGCCGCTCAGGAACTATCTCGACGCGCAGTACTATGGTGAGATTGGGATTGGCAGCCCGCCGCAGGTGTTCACGGTTATCTTCGACACTGGGAGCTCCAATTTGTGGGTGCCTTCCTCGCGATGCATTTTCTCTGTAAGTCCAAAGGTTTCTTCTCTTGAAAGTGATCCTTAGTTTGACTGGAATTATTTTTTTTCCTGGAGTCTCGACTGACTAGTAGTTTTGCTTCTAGAGCTTGGTTTGGTGTTATTATTGTCTTTTACTGTTTTTGTCTTCTATAGCCAGCGTGCTGGTTGCACCGTCGCTACAAGTCCAGGAAATCGAGTACTTACAAGCCTGATGGTATAACTAGTTCTACTTTTTTTTTTTTTTTTTCTGTAGAGTCTAATCCAATGTATGGCTCGTAGATGCTTCGATTGCTATCCAGTATGGGACTGGGCAGATGGCTGGATTTTTGAGCACGGATTATGTGACCATTGGTGACGTCGTGGTTAAAGATCAGGTTTGCAAAGTTATCGATCTTATGGTCGCTACATACCTTTTGCTATGCCTGTTGTAGACATTTGCGGAATCAACAAGTGAGCCTGGGCTTGTTTTCCTCTTTGCCAAGTTTGACGGCATTCTTGGACTTGGATTCAAAGCGATTTCCATGGGACAGGTTACTCCCGTCTGGTATGTGAAGAGTCACTTTACTTTGTTATTCTCTAGTGGATCTTTATTGCAGGTATAATATGCTAGCCCAGAAACTGATATCGCAACCAGTCTTCTCTTTCTGGCTGAATCGCGATGCCTCGGATGAGGAGGACGGCGGTGAAATCGTGTTCGGTGGAGTCAACAAGGATCGCTTTAAGGGAAAACATGTTTATACACCAGTTACCAGAGAGGGATACTGGCAGTTCAACATGGGAGATGTGGTTGTGGATGGCCAGAGCACAGGTTATATCATAATGGCTTGCTATACGCACTAGGTCTTAATGGTTTTATGTTTGCAGGGTTCTGTGCTAAAGGATGTGCTGCAATTGCAGATTCTGGAACTTCACTGCTTGTTGGTCCTACGGTATGTTACAAGCCAAAAGCAGTCATCTACAGTTGTTGTTTTGACAGGGTATTGTGGCTCAAATCAACCAAGCTATCGGGGCTACAGGGCTCGTCAGTGAGGAGTGTAAGATGGTCGTTGCTCAGTATGGTGACTTGATTGTGGAACTTCTTCTTGCACAGGTTAGTAAGCTTTGGCCTCTTTTTACTCATGACTGTCTTGTCTCGTAGGTGACACCCGACAAAGTATGTGCTCAAGCTGGGGTCTGCACTCTTCGTAATGACAAGTACATGCCATTTTCAATTTCTCCTTGAAACTGTTGCTGACCAGTTCCTTCCTCTCTTCTGCAGCCCACATATTGCGAGTGTGCTGGACAAGGAAAATCAAAAGGTTGGAGACGACGTGCTTTGCTCCGTCTGCGAGATGGCCGTTGTTTCGGTCCAGAACCAGCTTAGGCAAAACCCTACCAAGCAACAGATTGACCTCAATCAGGTATTTATGTAGCTAACAACCTTCCTGCTCCGATGATTCTAATGACTTCGTGTTTTGCAGCTATGCGAACGGTTGCCAAGCCCGAATGGCCAGTCCTTGGTTGAGTGCGCGAAAATCTCCTCCCTCCCGAACGTCTCATTCACCATCGCAAATCAAATGTTCGAGCTGACGCCTAAACAGGTGATGGATGCGTGACGCCAGTCTCATGCCGTCGTCCATTTGTGTTCTTGCTGCTGACTCTCACTCTCTTCTCTCTCGGCAGTACATCTTGCAAGTTGGAGAGGGAGCAGCGGCGCAGTGCATTAGTGGCTTTACAGGAATGGACGTCGCTCCTCCAGCCGTCCCAATCTGGTACTCTCTCTCTCTCTCTCTCTCTCTCTCTCTCATATATTCATTTTTCACTCTCACTCTCTCACTCGCTCTCTCTCATATATTCATTTTTCACTGTAGCTTTAGCTCTCTCTCTCTCTCTTCTCTCTCTCTCCCCTTTGATTTGCTGTAGCTCTAGTACTTCTTTCTAAAACGTTTGGTTTTGTTGGATCAGGATTCTCGGTGATGTGTTCATGGGGGTATACCATACGGTGTTTGATTTCGGGAACAAACGCATTGGTTTCGCCAAGGCAGTCTGAAAAGACTCTTAATCGTATTAAATATGTTATAAGCTTTATACAAAGATGTTGCCGTCGATAGGGTACGAGATGGACGGCTGGATAGCGACCAGAGGCCCGAGCACGTGGCCCAATCCCCGGCGTCCTGCGTGGCGCCCTTATCTCCGTTGCTTGTTAGGACCGCTAAATCCGGCATCTGACGGTGCCCAGATGCTGGCAAAGAATAGAGCCATTTTTTCTGATTGGGGAAAGAAAGTTTGCAGCTCTCTTTCTTTTCCATTCTTTTTTTTCCCCCTTCGTGCTTTAAAGTGTGTGCATGGCTTAACTAGGAAGTGTTTATATCAAGGTTAGTCCCAAGCATTCTAAATAACGATCAGTCAACTGATCAACTGTGGTTATCGACTGGCCATGAAAGTGCCAAATGGTTGAATGGTTCATAAATTTTTTTTTATAAAAAAAGAAATATTTTTAGTAAAACCACATTAATAAAAGTAGAAAAACCAAAGCATTAAACTAAACCAAACTAAAGCAAAGTAAAGCATTAAACCAAACCAAACTAATTATTACTCATCTTTTTCAACATTTGTGGCAAGTTCTTTGACATCTTTGGCATCTTTTTTAACAATCACATCCTCATTTAGATGATTTTCTTTAGTTAAATCTTTTATACCAAGAGATTCAAGCCTAATTTGCATTTTTACAATTCTAATCCATTGTGGTTCGATTGCAATTGTGTCGAGATTAATATTTAAGAATTTTATTCCTTCATTTTCAACACAATCTACCACTTTGGTTTTACTATGCACATAAACCAATTTCTTGAAGTTCTCCAGAAGTAAGCGATTGTGTCATTTGGTTTTGATTAAGTTCCAACTATTCTAAGTTTGCTCACATGGAAAAAAAACATATTCTTTGGCTCAATAAATGAAGTGTTAACTTCCTAAACTCAAGCATCTTATATTTATAGGATTCCCATAAAAAACTAAGAATTTCATTTTTGTTTTGCTTTTTGGCAAGTCTTAATTGATAGCTCTTCCAATTCTTTGTTCAAACATATTGAATTGCTCATTCAACTTCTCTTCTAACTGAATGTCCCCATAATAATAGATTGATAAGTAATCTGTCCAATCACTTCTTACTTCAGCATTTAAACCTTGCTTAAGGTACAAAGGATTCAAAGCATGTATAATATTGTGCATAGAGCTATGCATCATAAACCATCAAACTTTCCATCCATAAATAATTACATTTTCAACACCTAACTCCTTTGTTAAGCTTGGCAACATGGGACCATGCCCAATCGAGTGCCATTGTTACCAAAATTGCTAAAATTGCTAGAATCAAATCTTTGAAATCACTGGAATCCTTATTTCCATTTTAAGGCAAAAATTACAGTTCAAGCATGGGCGATTTGCAAGGCCTGAAAGCGGAGGCCAACCGACTGGAGAGTGTCGCCCTACACACGCAGCTCCTATAGCCCTCTTGGTCAGATTTGATGTAGGTTTGCTGGGCTGGGCATTCGTGGATGGATGGATTGCTCCATAGCAGCAGGAGAACCAGCAAAGCAGTGGAGATGCAGTGGCGATGGCGATAGCCACAGCAACATCAGAAATCTAGCCATTGCAAGCACGATTGCCATTATAATCGCCATACGGAATCACCAAATGGAGCTGTCCGACTGCGTTCGGCCGACTGCGTTCAGCAGCGGTTGGGATTCCGGCCGAACGCAGTCAGGACCAACAATGCCACATTCTCTTTCCAGAGATCTTCGCCCATCTGTGAGCCGCAGAGAATCGCCATAGAATACTCCCCAGGATCATCCATTCTTGTCCGCAGCCAGCCGCTAGCACGCGGTCAGCTCCTCCTCCCCTTCTTCCTTTCCTTGTTAATAAGGGGAGGGGAGCGATCGACCAATTTTGGGATGGTCACCGTTTAGATTCTTTCATTCCTTCTTTCATTGTCACGAAGAACCGAGTCCGGTATTGGCTAAATACGGCACTTTGCACCTGCAAAAATCCTAGGTGCATTATAGAACAATCCTTTCCTTGCTAATGCTTACCTCCATTCTCTGCACTTTCTCAAAAAAATCGAAGTACGGCATCTTCGGCCTGTATTTCCACCACCTTCAGGCAGCCCAGAAACATTGCGGAGGAATAACCGGTTCTTCTTTTTTCTCAGCAATATCCTTGGCCATCTCCTCGCTGTCCAAGAGGACAACAGCTTGTTAACGCATCAGTGTCATCAAGGAAGACAATCAGGAGGGAATCGAAATATCGGTTTTCGTGACCTTCGGCACCTTTGTTCAATTCTTGCGCTGCCGCTGCTTCATTGCTATCATCGTCCCACGCGTGCTCTCCAACGAACGAAGGATCGTGACGATAACTCCCATCGGGTTGCAGTAGATGCTTTCGTACGCGAACACCGCCAGGCATATTTTCTCGCCATTGAAGCTTCTCCAGTCTATTCCAAACAAAACAACAGATCCATCAAAAGACGTCTTCGAGACAAATCTAGCTTACTTGCGAACGTTTTCCAATGTTGGTTCTGGAATCGTTGCCTCTAAGTACGCTTCAGTCAATTCCTTGGCCTCTCTTTTGCTTAGCCGAGGTGTGGTTGCCGCTACGTAGAGACCTCGGAAGGAACCAATGACCAGGAGAAGGTACAGAACAAGCGCTCCAATGTGTTGAGCATCCAACTTCTGAGAAACAAAACCAAAAACAATACTGGTTTGAGAATCAACATCAATCTGCCAGAGAAATCATACCTTCGATCGCTCCCATTGGTGCCAGGCTACGATTCGAGGCCATACCTTAAGCCTGAAATCCTCGAGCAGCTCCTCACCTTATCTTCCTCTAGCATCTTGCGCTGTTGACGCCGCTCTGTCAAAGACGTGAGACGCATTCTCGTGTAATTCCTTGTACCGAGCAGTCACGACCTCCTTAATCTTCTCTCCATCCACCCCAGCGTCGGCCTTTAGACCCTGGACAAAATTCCCGTAATCTCTGCTCAGCGCGGCTCTCAGCATTTGATTCCACGACTGCTCCGGCACCGATTGGTCGTCACTACTCAGCTGCGCGCTAGGGCGAGCTCGAAATCTACTCCTAGAGCCTGCATTTATCCTCTGGACGTCGCTGCCAAACGATCTATCCACAAAATCAGTACCGCAAGCGACCGCCGGGAGATGGAATGTCGGGGATGCTCTAGAGAGAGGCGCCATAGCCGAGAGCTTGCATTGCTCTCGGGGTTTAGGGCTTATGCTAGATAGATGCTCGGCGATTATTAAGAGGTATATTCTCCGGACTATCCACGTTGCTGCTAATGGGGAATATATAAGAACGAGGAAGCGGAGCTTTGAGATATCGCTATGGCGGGAGCTAGGGTTTCCGGGGCGCTCCTTCTCGCGGTGTGGGGCTTGTCGTGCTTGATCGCCGTCACGGCGGTGGAGGTCGTGCCGCTCAAGAAGAGGCCGCTCACGGCCGAGCGCCTGAGGTTAGCTGTGAAGTCCGTCCCTCGCAAAGCACACGCTCTTGGCTTCCACAATGTGCGCGACGCGAATTCGCTCACCAAGAACGGCAGCGTCCCGGATATCGAGCCGCTCAGGAACTATCTCGACGCGCAGTACTATGGTGAGATTGGGATTGGCAGCCCGCCGCAGGTGTTCACGGTTATCTTCGACACTGGGAGCTCCAATTTGTGGGTGCCTTCCTCGCGATGCATTTTCTCTGTAAGTCCAAAGTTTTCTTCTCTTGGAAGTGATCCTAAGTTGACTTTATTGTTTTTGTCTTCTATAGCCAGCGTGCTGGTTGCACCATCGCTACAAGTCCAGGAAATCGAGTACTTACAAGCCCGATGGTATAACTAGTTCTACCTTTTTTTTTTTTAGAGTCTAATCCAATCTATGGCTCGTAGGTACTTCGATTGCTATCCAGTATGGAACTGGGCAGATGGCTGGATTTTTGAGCACGGATTATGTGACCATTGGTGACGTCGTGGTTAAAGATCAGGTTTGCAAAGTTATCGATCTTATGATCGCTATATAGCTTTTGCTATGCTTGTTGTAGACATTTGCGGAATCAACAAGTGAGCCTGGGCTTGTTTTCCTCGTTGCCAAGTTTGATGGCATCCTTGGACTTGGATTCAAAGCGATTTCCAAGGGACAGGTTACTCCCGTCTGGTATGTGAAGAGTTACTTTACTTTGTCATTTTCTAGTGGATCTTTATTGCAGGTATAATATGCTAGCCCAGAAACTGATATCGCAACCAGTCTTCTCTTTCTGGCTGAATCGCGATGCCTCGGATGAGGAGGACGGCGGTGAAATCGTGTTCGGTGGAGTCAACAAGGATCGCTTTAAGGGAAAACATGTTTATACACCAGTTACCAGAGAGGGATACTGGCAGTTCAACATGGGAGATGTGGCTGTGGATGGCCAGAGCACAGGTTATATCATAATGGCTTGCTATATGCACTAATTCTTAATGGATTTATGTTTGCAGGGTTCTGTGCTAAAGGATGTGCTGCAATTGCAGATTCTGGAACTTCACTGCTTGCTGGTCCTACGGTATGTTACAAGCCAAAAGCAGCCATCTAACAGTTGTTGTTTTGACAGGGTATTGTGGCTCAAATCAACCAAGCTATCGGGGCTACAGGGCTCGTCAGCGAGGAGTGTAAGATGGTCGTTGCTCAGTATGGTGACTTGATTGTGGAACTTCTTCTTGCACAGGTTAGTAAGCTTTGGCCTCTTTGTACTCATGACTGTCTTGTCTCGTAGGTGACGCCCGACAGAGTATGTGCTCAAGCTGGAGTCTGCTCTCTTCGTAATGACAAGTACATGCCGTTTTCAATTTCTCCTTGAAACTGTTGCTGACCAGTTCCTTCCTCTCTTCTGCAGCCCACATATTGCGAGTGTGCTGGACAAGGAAAATCAAAAGGTTGGAGACGACGTGCTTTGCTCCGTCTGCGAGATGGCTGTTGTTTGGGTCCAGAACCAGCTCAGGCAAAACCGTACCAAGCAACAGATTGAGGACTACCTCAATCAGGTATTTATGCGGAAACCATAGCTAACAACCTTCCTGCTGCGATGGTTTCGATTACTTCGTGTATTTGCAGCTATGCGAACGGTTGCCGAGCCCGAATGGCCAGTCCGTTGTTGAGTGCGCGAAAATCTCCTCCCTCCCGAACGTCTCATTCACCATCGCAAATCAAACGTTCGAGCTGACGCCTAAACAGGTGATGGATGCGTGACGCCAGTCTCATGCCGTCGTCCATTTGTGTTCTTGCTGCTGACTCTCACTCTCTTCTCTCTCGTCAGTACATCTTGCAAGTTGGAGAGGGAGCAGCGGCGCAGTGCATTAGTGGCTTTACAGGAATGGACGTCCCTCCTCCAGCCGGCCCAATCTGGTACTCTCTCTTTCTCTCTCTCTCTCTCTCTCTCTCTCTCTCTCTCTCATATATTCATTTTTCACTGTAGCTGTAGCTCTCTTGCATTCTCTCAGATATTCATTTTTCACTCTCGCTCTCTCATATATTCATTTTTCACTCTCTCTCTCTCTCCCCCTTTTAATTTGCTCTAGTACTTCTTTCTAAAACGTTTGGTTTTGTTGGATCAACAGGATTCTCGGTGATGTGTTCATGGGGGTATACCATACGGTGTTTGATTTCGGGAACAAACGCATTGGTTTCGCCAAGGCAGTCTGAAAAAAAGTGTTCTTAGTTGTATTAAATATGCTATAAGCTTTATACAAAGATGTCGCCGTCCATAGGGTACCAGATGGACGGCTAGATAGCGACCAGAGAAAAGGCGAGCATGAGCACGTGGCCCAATACCCAGTGTCCTGCGTGGCGCGCTTATCGCCGTTGCTTGTTAGGACCGCTAGATCCGGCATCCGACGGTGCCGACCTACCGGCAAAGAATAGAGCCCCGTGTATTTTGTCTGATTAGGGAAAGGAAGCTCGCGGCTCTCTTTCTTTTCTTCTCCCTCGTCCTCTTTCTTCCCCCTTCGCGCTCCGGAGCGCGTGCATAGCTTAGCTGGGGAGCATCCACATTCTCTTTCCGGAGATCTTCGCCCATCTGTGAGCCGCAGAGAATCGCCATAGAATACTCCCCAGGATCATCCATTCTTGTCCGTGGCAGCCAGCCGCTAGCGCGCGGTCAGCTTCTCCTCTTCTTCCTTTCCCTGTTAATAAGGGGAGGTGAGCGATCGACCAATTTTGGGATGGTGGCCTTCTAGATCAGGATCAGGGTTCCTCGCGGTCGGAGATTTTTTCATGGGTTGGATTTGCAAAGTCATCCTAATGCCGCTGCGCCGCGCATGGGAGGTGGTGGTTCTCCGGATTCAGCACAACAAGCGCGGTACGTGTTCTTCCTTTGATACCTTTTTCCGAAGTAGGAAAAATATCATCCTTGAATCCGTCAATGCGTAGATCTTTGAGCTTTTGCACCACCTCAAGACTGTACTTTTCGTTCCTGGTTCTTCCTTGTCGCTCTTGGTACTGCTGTCGCTGGCTTTTGTTCTTGATTTGTATCGCTTTGTTCGTGATTCCAATCTGATCTTCTCTCGTTTCTAAAGCTTCTGTTTCGTCTTTCCAGGCCGGCGCGGAATTGGGATGCTCTACGACGACGTTCAGCTGTGCGCTTACGAGGACGTCCAAGTTATGTGGTCCATGCTGCAGCACTCGTCCACGACAGAATCACAGCAGACGAGGTCGTCGAGGCTGTCCAAGTTTTGGCTCTGCCACAAGCCCCGGGCCTTCTGAGGCTCTCGGCAGAGCAGCGATCTCGTCCAGCTCCCACACAAGGTTCCTTTTCCCTTTTCCTGCTCTGGCTAAGAACAAGGCAGGGATCAAATCTTTCAGATGGGAGCGAGGAAAACCAAAAAAGAAAACACAGAAGCAGAGCTATAGCTATAGGTGGGCATGGGGAGAAATAGTTCGAGTGGTCGTCAAGGTGTCTCAGTAGTGGCGCATATGTAGACAAGGGGAGCAGCAGCAGCAGCAGCAGCAGCAGCAGCAGGCAGCAGCTTTTCAAGGCGTGTAAATGAAATGCGGAAAGAGGGGAGGGATTGCCACTGTAATTATCACCAAAGGGGTCGAGAAAGAAAAAGAGGAAGAGCATCACCACCACCATCTTTTCTTTTGTGGTCGGTCACGGATAGATCACCCATCCTTCTCGACACTCTTAGAAAGACCCCACTTTGATTCCCTTGCAGTCCAACCAAGTTCCACTTTCAATCAAGGACTGGATAGATAGATGGAAGTTTTATATACGTATATATTTCTTTTCTAGTCTACTTGGTCCTCGAAGAACAACTTCCAAAGCTACCACTCCTTTTTCTCCTGGTGTTTAGGTGGCGCCATGGCGGTGTTCTTCCAGAAAAGAAAACTTCCAAAGTCCTTTTCATTGATCACGTCACAGATCTTTGAAAGCGGCCAAATTCCTGCCCTGGGAGGGATGGATCACGGCGGAGGAGACCAAGTGAAAAAAAAAAAATCACCAAGAAAAAGAAACAAGATGTCACCAAAGATTGTTAAAGATCGCAATCCAATCCTGTGACAAGCGTCTGCGTCTCTGTTCTTCGAAGCATCTTATTCCTGTTTTGGGACCCGCGGAAGAGCCTTTGTCATCAAACACTGACATGGGAGCTGTACAGACCTCTTGTTTGCGTGATGAGCTTCTTCTTCTCCTGCTGCTGCTGCTGCTGTTTGGCGATGGTGGCGTTGTGTGATCCCCACCCCTCGCCCCTCCAACCAAGCTTTTCCTCGCCTAGCGAGAGTCCATTCCCACCGGCGGGGGTGGCCGGTCTCCCTTGATAACGTCCAGCAACATCTTCCGCCTGGCGTTCGCAAAGAAAGACTGGCGGTAGTCGAGCGCCTCCTCCATCTTGCGCAACCGGTCCAGCGCATCGTTGTCGTCCTGCTGCTTGCAACGTGTCCACACCTTGAGAGTCGTTTGACGAAACGGGCGGTGGTGGTTCTCAATCTGCCACGCAAAAAGGCCGCGCTGACAATCAGAAATCGAAAAGAAATCTGCCTGTACCATGGTCTGGAGAACGTCCAGTGCCGCATTTGCATCGTGGTTCACAATGTGTGCGTCAGCCAAAAGCATGTAAGTCCACTTGTCTGGCTTGAATCCCGCCTCCTTTATGTAGTCGTACACCCTCAGAGCGTCCTCCGTCTATACAGCAACACCAACAAACGGGAGTTAGAGACGCTCTTAGCCTGTAGCATGAAAACAAAAGCCGGCCTAACCATCTTCGTTCTTCCCAGCGCATGCAGCAGCGCATTGCAGGAGTGAATATCGGGCCTTAGGCCAAACACGCTCTCGATCGCTTCAAACGTCTGGTATGCACGCTCAGAATCCCAGAGGTTGGCACACCCCTGAATAACGCAGTTGATGGCAGCTATAGACACACCTTGCTTTTTCGTGTGCGCCTCTTCCAGCTTGTAATAAGCCTGCAAAAAGAGAGAGACATGAAAGAAGTGTTGAAAGCAATGACAAGGATAGGAATAACTCTTACCGCATCCAAAGCTGCCGCGCCACCTCGTGAGCACGCCGAAGCAAGCGACTTTAGCGACGTAAACGGCGAAAAGGCCTCCGTATCGCTGTCTTGCTTCCGCCCGTGATGGACCTCGAGCTCCCAGACTGCTCTAAAAGCTGTTGACATATCTCCACTCAGAGCGAGGGCATGGATGCGAGCAAGATACGCCTCCACGGACGGGGTTTTCCCGATTCCTTGGGTGTGGTGAACGAGAGCCTCCCAAGCATGGTTGCATAAAGCTGTATCACCTGTTCTTGCGGCTGTTCCCAGAACAGCTATCATAGTGCCTTCGTCCAATATCATCTTCGGACCGAACTTCGCCATGGGCCTTTCAGTGATAGCAGCTAACGCAAGGCGAGCGCACTCGTTGTCATCAACTTCACTCGCGGCCATCAGCAGCTCCGCGCAAGTGTTCAGCATCGGGAGAGGCAGTTTTCCAGCCTGACCAAGACAGAAAACATTCTCATCAGATACAATGGCATAACTCTTCCAGGGTCTCACCTTGAGATCTTTCAACAGAGAGGCCGCAAGCTTCGTCTGATGAGAACGGGCAGTGGCCAGAGCTACCTCGTTTATCGTTGTCCTGCTGGGCTCAAAGCCTTTGTCAAGCATGGCCTTCACGTACTTCGTAGCCGCCAAGACTTTGCGGTCATGTGCACACAGAACCACGACCAAGTTGTAGGAGTCAGCGTCGGGCTGTGCATGTGGCCCCTCCTTTTCCATTCTGCACGGTTAAAACCAGTAGCATAGTGCCACAAAGATAACGAAGAGCTTACTTACTGCTCGAGAAGCTTTTCGGCCATGGCTGAATCCTTCTTGCGAAACAGAGCGCGAATGAGAATGTTGTAGCCGTTTAAGTCACGTGGAAGGCCCGACTCCTCCATCTCAGTCACCACCTCCTGGAGCTCCGCAAAGTTGGCCTCGTGCTTCACCTTCGCCTGCATGTAAAGGTTATACAGCCTCCGGTCTGGCTTGTTGCACTCGAGCGTGACAGGATTGATCTTCGTTCGCCAATCTTCGAAAAGAGCAATGGCCTCGGGAACCTTTCCTTCCGTCAGGCGGTTGTTCAGCTCGTCCGCTACAGCATTGGCGTCCATCGGAGCAGGCTCGGCGGCTGGAGTAGACAAAGAGAGGCGCAGAGAAGGTGGTGGAGTTGCCGGCGACGCTTCCACTGTTTCTTCCGGCTTTGCATTTAGAGCCTCAAATATGGGTGCGGCTGGCGATGGAGACTTGCCACCTTTCTCTACGCTCTCCAAGAGCATGTTAATAGCTGCGTTTGTCTTCTCCGCGGACGGCGAAGATGGATCAAACCGAGGTGAAAGCTTCGGCGACGAGGGAGGCTTCGCAGCATCTGGAGGAGTCTTATCTCCAGTCTCCCGGATCTTTGAACGAAGAAACTCGAAAACCGCGGTGTCCGCCAAAGGAGTCCCCGGCTTGCTCGACGTGGCGGCCTTCTTCGCCACCTTTGAAGGCACAACTTTGGTAGTCGCTGCTGCTGCTCCTGCTGCTGCTGCTTTCGGCTTCTCAGTTGCTGGCTTTGCTGCTGCCGGGGTCGCGGGTTTCTCCTCCTTTTTCTCACTCTTCGCGGTCTCTGGCTTTTCACCCTTGGGCTTCTCCGTAGTACTTTGAGACGCAGCTGGCTTCGCTTTGGCAGGCGAAGGACTACCAGTTTTCGTTGCAGCTTCTGGTGGAGCGGAAGCTGGTGGAGCAGGAGCTGGCGGAGTAGGGGCTGGAGGGGCAGGAGCACTTGGCACAACTGGAGCTAGAACTTCGGCGGGTGGCAATCCCTTGATAAACTCGTGGACACTCGCTGAGAGTTCCTCTAGGCTCTTCTTAGTTGTAGTGGACGTCGCAGCTTCTCCAGCTCCAGCGTCGACGGTGGCTTCCACCACTACCGATTCCTCATGCGAAAGTTCTCCTCCCTCCTCCATAACACTTTCCACCTCCACGGCACTCTCCTCCCCAACAGCACTCGCCTCCACAACACTTTCTACCTCCACAGCACTCTCCTCCAGAGAATTCTCCACTGGCTCAAGAACCTCTCCCTGGATCCCAGCTACTTCCACTCCATTCTCGGTCTCTTCCAATCTATAAGCTCCATCCTCCTGGGTCTGGAGGAGCTCCGCCTCCTCCTGCGAGTAAGCATGCAAGGCCGGATCGCCCTCTACCTCCTCCGCCTGAGCCTCTTGCTCTACCTCTTGCACCGCGGCCGGCGATACCTGGTTGCGATGGAAAAGCTTGGACAGGAAATCCAGTCCCAAGATGGACTTCTTCCTGGGGACTGAGCTCTCCGGATCGTCGGGAGCGCCCGGAGCTTGAAATACCTGCGGGGAAGAACCCACATTCCTCGCCAGAGGCACCAATCCCAATGCTACGATGCCCTGACATGGGGCACGACCCGATCCAGCGGCACCACTGCCAAGAACCCTCCCTGCCTGGAGCAGCCGCCCTAAGTCCTTCACTCGCTGATGCCGCTGCGTGCCAAGAACTCGCCACACAACCATGACTCGGTATGGATCGCTGATCTAACCTGTGATGTCTCCCATCGCTGGGAAGAGCAGCCGTAACCGCGATGGCGACTCTCACATTCGTCTCCTACCTCTGGCACAAGGTTTAGGGTTTATCCCCAGACAATCTTAACCGTCGGATAGAGTACAAAATTCCAGTCAGTTTGTCAAAATTCCGGATCATAAAATGCCAGCCGGAAGATCCTTGCTAATTGCGATCTCCTGCTCGAAAAACGCAGAATGGAGCTCCCTGACGCAGCGCTCGGCCTCCGAATCATTCACTATCAACGAGATATTCACCTGTCAAAGCAAAAGGATGGTCGATCGAGCAAGAACAAAAGGAAGAACTTTTACCTTGGAAGCACCTTGTGAGATCATCTGGACCTTGATTCCCAGCTCCTCAAACACCGAGAAAACTTTCTTGAGCACAAGGGAGGAGCGCTCCACGTTTCCAATCAGCGAGATGATGGAGCGCTTCTGTAGCAGCTTCACCTTTGCAATCTTGCGGAGCTTGGTCACCATGTTGTCCAGCTCTGTCTGGATCAAGTCGCGGCTCCAGATCTTAATGGGATCCAGCGTCAGCGAGATGCTAACCTCGCTGGTCGCCACCACGTCCACGGAGATCCCCAGCTCCTCGAAAGTCGAGAAAACTTTCGCCAGGAAACCAACCTGGCCCAGCATTCTCGTACTCACGATGTCCAGCATCGTTATGTTTCGCTTGAGAACAATACTTGTAAGCAGTGTCTATGGGGAAAAACACAATTTTGTAAGCAAAAATCCTTGGAAACTTGTTCTTACCTCACTCATATCACGCTTCTTCGTGATGAGTGTTCCAGGAACGTGTGGATTGTAGGAGTTCTTCACGCGGACTGGAATGTTGGCCTCTCGCGCGGGCCTCATCGACTGTGGGTGTAGCACCTGGGCACCAAAGTACGCCAGCTCTGTAGCCTCGTCGAATGTGAGGCATGGAACTGGAACCGCGAGAGAGTGGACGTTGGGGTCGCAAGTTAGCACTCCATCGACATCCTTCCACACCTGGACTTCCCGTAAGCCAAGAGCTTTTCCTATCACCGTGGCCGTCAAGTCGCTTCCACCTCTTCCTAAGGTGGTGATGGCACCAGTTTTCTCTCCCTTTCCCAGAAAGCCCGTGAACACTGGCACTGCCTGATCTCTCCTCCAGTCTTCGTGCAACCGCTTCGCCACCGCCGGATAAGTTGCCTCCAGGATCTCCGCATTTCGAAACTCGTCAGTTGTGATAAACCCCGCCTCAAAAGCATCGTACTGCCTCGCCTTGACTCCAATCTTGTTGAGGTATGCCGCAAAAACCCTCGTCGACAGGCGCTCGCCGAATGAGACGAGGTTGTCTTGCGTGCGGGGGGTCAGCTCTTTCATCAGCGCGATGCCTGTAAGGAGCATGCCAAGCTCCTCGAACAAATCTAGGAAGATAAAAGAGAACAAGGTAAGAAACAAAACGAGAAAACAAGATGGAAAAACAAAACCGGAGACGAAAGTTTACCTGAAAACACAGCCTGGTCAATACCAAGTTCCTTGGCAGTACGAACATGGAGATCCTTGATCACAGAAAACTCTTCAATGTAGCAAGTCATTGGAACTCCACAATGGAGGGCCTTCTCGCCAGCCTGCACAAAAGAACTTAGAAGTTGATAAGTTTTTCTAGAAGAGAGAAAGTCCATACCGCAAGCAAGTTGTTCGTAGTCTTTCCCATGGCCGACAAAACTAGCACAGGCCTTTCACCCGGAAAGCTTTGCACGAGCGTCGCAACCTCCTTCATCCTCGCCGCAGACGACACAGAAGAGCCCCCAAACTTCATCACGCAAGTCAGCCCATCCGCGAAACTCTTCTCGCCATCTCCAACCTCCAGTGCCTGGCGATTCACGTCGTGGAGCGACGATTTCCTGTGCTCAAGCTCCTCCTGCGTCGTGGAAACCACCGCAGTAGCCGCCCCATTCGAAATACATCCAATCCATGCTACCCCTCTCACCAATCTACACTGTAATGTCGACGAATTCGCGAAGCAGTGGGAGCTCCTGGGCGGAGGCGCCAGATGCAAGCTAGAGCTGCTGTAATCTGGGAGAACCCGGCGGGCCAGCCACGGCCCGGCCATCCTAATAGCGGAGACGCAAAGATCTATGGCGAAATCTACCTCCGCGATTGCAATGTGGCTGATCCGGCCGCGCGCCGGCCCTCGCTGGGCGCCCCCGCCGCGATCGCTCCCCGCTTAAACCCTGCCGCAAATTAGGGCTCCTGGTTTGACAATGGCGTCACTATATTTCCATGGAACCATTACATGGGGATTTTCTTCTCCCACGATCTCTTGCAGCTATCTGGCGCTCTGAATCGAAATCTCTTTTCCTGGATGGGCGACGCCATGAAATCCTGCCAATCTTCCATCGTGAGCTTCAAATCGGCCAGCTTGGCCGTCATGCCCTTGCAGCAATTGGCGTGCATCGTGACGATCTTGCCCATGTCGCGCGCCCCGACGTCCCCGAAGTTGCTAAACAGTGATGTCGGCAGGAAATCTACACGAATTTCGAGCGCGCCAAACTCCGGGGACGATCGAAACGCGTTGAAAACCTGCTGCTCGTTCTTGCCCGGCTGCTGCTCCATCCGCGACGCCCAGAATTTGTAGAGCTTGATCGTCCTGGCGTTGGACCTGGCGTGGATGAATCCCGTGTTTGCTTTGCTCCTGCTCGCATTGCCTCGATGGAATACGTCGCACGAGACTGCGATGTCGGCAGCGCCGCGATTGAGATGGTTCCAAGGATTGCGGAGCCAAAGAACGTCCAAGTCCTGCAAGGAATTTCTTCTCAAAAGATCATCGAGGAAAAGTGCCAGATCTTGCCGTGAAGATGAAATTATATCCCAGCTCGAGAACTTCCCCGAGGAACTCCACTCTGCGCTTCATCATCCAGACGAAATCCTGCGACATAAACAGGGCCTCCCGCGACGAGAAATCCACGCCGCCGGTCTCGAGGAGGAGGCAATGCTTGTGGATCGCGAGGCAGCGCTGGTGAGCAACCTCGTCGAGGCTCACGAGCACCAGATTCTCCAGCAATTCAGCGGTCTTGTTCCCGGATCTAAAGCCTCCAAGGAAGAGATCAAGGAGCGCCCCTTCTTCCGCCCATGCCTTGTTCAAGCTCGCCAAGATCACATTTTTACCTCCGTCGCTCGCGCTTGCGAGCACGGCCTCGCGATGGTTTCCAGGCGTGATCGCCATGCCTTGCTGCTGCCAAGGAAAGCCAAGTTACTCGAGAGTTCCACTCGCATTTCAGTGAATAGTCGTTACCATTGTGTGGTCTTTGGAGTACGAGGTGGCGAAGGACGTATCATCGTGAGTGCTCGCAATCAAGAAAACTACGAAGGCTGCAATGGAGATCACAAGACACACTTGCTGGAGCGCCAGAGAAGCCATAGCTCTTTGTCACGACAAGAGATGCTGCATTATTGCTCAGGAGAAAGGGAATCGTTGGTTCCACACTTTCTTCCAAAGTTCAACTCTCTGGAGAACCATAGCTTTCAGTCTACATGGACGTCACTCAAGAAAGTTTCAAAGTAGTGGTTCCATTTGGCTTTTCTTCAAAACTGCAGGGAGTAAATCCGTTGTAGTCTAGTTGGTCAGGATACTCGGCTCTCACCCGAGCGACCCGGGTTCAAGTCCCGGCAACGGAACAATCTCGCTAATAACGCGATTATATACGTTCAATTTATCCTTCCTAGTGTTCCTTTTTTATGGCCTCGCAGGGAACTTCCGAGCGATAGTTCTGGTACTGCTTGAATGCCACTAGAGAGAAGAATGCTGCAAAACACGAGACATAAATCCCTGCGCTAGAAACCAAACGAAGACCATACCGATCCAAAACCTTGAAGACGTGGAGAGAAATTTCCAAATGAGAACAGCAGCAACCCCGGCCACCATTTTCTTGTGAGGACAACTCTCCCAGCCGGAACTGAAGTGGGACACGAGATGAATCCCTGCATTTGATGTGTTTGTCAACGAGGAAAACACGGACCACGGAGTCAATGCTCTCACCTTTTTCGTGGAGCTGAGCCGTGTACGACACGTAGAACTTTGGCACAAGGAAGGCTCCAAAGAACGCTACAGCATACGGGATCATGCGACTGCGAGATGGAAAGGCGACAGCGCTTACCAAGTCGGAAGATATTCCACAGTGACATCCAATACCCCACATGAGCTACGCACCACAGAGTTGCGGCAACCTGCAAAAACACAAGTATCACAGAGATTTGGAGCGTGTACTACCAAAAAACCTTGAGCGTCGTCCCCGGATCACCAGAGAATAGCTGCGAAAACTTAAAAAGCACGGCGTTGAAAGCTGGCAGTGCGCCTCTTGTCAGCTCCAACGCTGCGGCTTCACTTATCTTCCAGGAATCGCTTGAAGAAGACGGCGCTCTACACGGACCATTTCAAAAGTTAGTGTGACAGCACTTTGGTGGAGAACCTTCTCAGAATGTTAATTCTGAAGAAAACAGCCGATAAATACGTCAATGCCAAGTACGACAGAGTCGTGACAATGCTGCAAAACGGGACGATTTAGCAAAAAGCTTCAGAATAGAATCACTCACTTCAAATGGATATCTTGCATAAGCGAGGCAGACAAAATGGCAAAAGCGCCAGCTCCAAAAATGAGCGACGACGTCGAGAAATCGCGCCACAGTATCACGTTCACTGCCAGAATCAAAAAAGGTCACAGGAATGGATCATCGCAATCGAAACACTTACTGACAAGCTGCATCCAGTCCTCCTTGTGTGAACTTTGATCTGTAAAAGACGTCGTAAATGTCAAAGAGAAAAAGAAAGACAAGGCTTTCAAATCAAAGCCTAAATCGTCATGGTCTAAACTTACACTCGAGACTAGACAAACACCCTCACCTCTTCCCGGAGGTCTGGAATGAAAAGAGGGCGATCCATTGACGCTACTGGCGCGTCCACCGAATGAAAAAGACGACGGCAGCGAAGCAAACAGCTCGGTGGCCTTCTGCTTGAACTGACGAGAATTCTTCTGGACTGGACTGGCTTTGAGCTGGATTGGATCGCTCTCCGGTTCCACGGGCTCAACCTTCACCGCCACAGGAACCGGTTGCCTCAGCACATTCCCCTCCACAGTCTGCTCGCAAGGCACCTCCACATTCCCACCACCATTGCCACCATTTCTCTCACGCACCGCATCGCCCCGCTGCTTTTTAGCACTACCATTTCGCATGGAAAAGGCCATGGCTTCTCCGCTACGTCTCACCACCTGATCCTCCGATCGCGAGAGCTTATCGTACCTCAATCGCCTCGCGGAGCGGCCATTCTCCTCGGCTTGCATCCGAGAGAGAATGGCGTTCCTGACGCTCTCCTCGTCGATGTCCATGGAATCGGGCACTCCTGCCACAGCCGGCATGATACGATCCGGGACCGAAACGGCCCGCCTGAAAACCCTAGCCTCGGAGGAATGGGGAGGAGCTGGAGCTGGCGCAATGCTACCGTTAGCGGCCGATTCCTCGCTCGTGCCCAGCTGCTGCGGGTGAATGCTCGCCGGCAGCGATCGAGATTGCGACAATGTAGCTCCGGAAGCGGTGGCAGAGGAGATCGAAGAGGAGGAAGGGGACGGCGTGCGCCTGGCGACCAGCATTGGCGACGATCTCCTCATCGCCTCTGCTCTATCTCTATAAACCCTAGCTCCGTTGATGGAGGGGGCCAATAGCAAGCGGGAAAAGCGACGCTGGCCGTTGGGTTTTTTCGAAAGCTAAATGCCCTCAAATCAGTATAAGATTCCTTGCACGTGTCGCACGCATGCAGCCGTTGGATCCATCCAAACTCGCCAATTTTGAGCATAGTAAATTCACAATTTTTATAAGTTATAATCCAAGCCGGAGCGACAAATCTATGCCACCACCAGCGCTACCGCCACCGCCACCGCCACCGCCACCACCACCGCCGCCACCATAATTACCACCGCCACCACCACCATTCTGGCTATCACCATTTTGGCCTTGACCATGGCTGTAGCCATTGACCGGCTTGGACTTCCGGAAGTTCTCGTCGACACACCGACGCATGAACTCACCCGTGCGGAAGCTGGCAGCGCCGGCGGGCCGTGCAAACGTCATCGCCGGCTGTCGCAGGGAACTGGACTTCCCGATGTTTGCTCTTGGGGACAGCGACGACCACGCGGCAGCTCCCGGATGTTGGGAGCTGGCTGCCGCCGCCGCTGGCTGCGGGACGCACATAGTGTTGGCCACCATTGGCGTCGTGGAGTGGGCTTGGAGTCCCATGGACTGGACGCGGAAGGGAGCGGCGCCACCGGAGAATCTTGCACCGCCACCGCCGTGGTTCTGGTGGTGGTACCGCGACCAGGAGCCGTTGAAGCTGGCGAGGTTGCTGGTGTGGCAGCGGAGAGCCCGGCGGGCCGCCGACCTCTCGCGCTTGTGCGCATTTTGGTGGCCGCCCAGCGCCTGGGAGCTTGAGAATTTGCGGTCGCAAAAGGTGCAGGAGAAGTGGCGGCAGGGGCTCGATTGCGTGGCGGCCGTAGACGCTGGCGTGGGCGTGGCCACCTCGGCCGCCTGATCCTGATCTGACGCTACAGAGGCCGACGATCGGGAAGTAGAGTGCTGGCACCCGGCGCTCAGGAAATCCGTGGCCGCCAGCTCCCTCGCCGCCTCCTCCTCCACCAATTCCTCCCTCCAATCCTTCCGTGCATCATCGTTCCTCCTGGCCTCCTCCTCCTCCTCCTCCTCCTCCTCCTCCTTCTTCTCCTCCTCCTCCTCGACCGCCTCTTCCTCCTCTTCCTCCTCCTCCTCCCCCCGCTGCCGCCACTCGATCTCCTGCTCACCTGATCGATCTTCCCGATCCAGCGTCACTCGGTCCGCCTGGAGGCCGCCATCGATTTGCATCACCGACCTCTCTTCTCGCTTTCTCTCTCTATCCTTGCCCTCAAGCTTGTGCTCTCTTGCGATCTCTCCTCTCTCGTGCTCGATTGGTGGAGCCCTAGCGAAGCGATAGATATGAAGCAAACACAACTATTAAGCAAGAAGGCCAAGCTGGGTGTGAGTTTGTGTCAGGCTGACAGGAGCCTTCTTCCCATTGTGGAAAACTGCGCTACGTGGCAAGGGGCATATTCGGGGGATACAATCCTGGCGATCACGGGGTTGAAGGGTCGGCTCTTGGCAAAGCCCCAATGGTCAAGAAGAGTCAACAATTAGTAAGATCCCGACAAAAACTCCCGGACGATGTTTAGCAAAAGGCCGGTTCAAATTTAGGGAAATTCCAAAGTTTAGCAAAAAGGTCTGTTCGAATCCGGCGTGGCGTTAGGCACACATGGGGCTCCAGAGCATATGACACGTCGAGATCTAGTTGAGGCTTGGCAGCCGTCGGATAAGTCGCATATTCTTAGAGCTGATAAACCTCCTACGTGGCGACAAGACACGTGGGGTTCCAAACGTATGCCACGTGGAAATCTAATTGGCGCTTTGGCAACCGTTGGATGAGTCAATTCAAGTTCAGAAGAAAGTCTTTGACAAAGTCGAGATTGGAGGTCGTCACCGAAGGAGCCTAGCAATGTCACCATACTTGCGAACGCGTCTTGAGCTATGTATAGAAGACGTCGCGCGTGGGGCTGCCCTCCATCCTCCTCGCATTGCCTCTTTTTCTCCATTCTCGTTGATCGATAGAGTGTAATTCTCGCCGCGATTCATTCAATCATTCCATCGATCGAGCGCGGCAGCCATGGGCGCCAGCAACTATGTCACCGGGATCATCAACTTCTGCACGTTGGTGCTCTCCATCCCGATCATCGGCGCTGGAATCTGGCTCGCCTCCAAGGGCGACACCGAGTGCGTGCGATTCCTCCAGTGGCCCGTGATCGCCATTGGCGTCTTCATCCTCGTCGTCTCCATCGCGGGATTCATCGGCGGCTGCTGCCGCGTCGCGTGGCTCCTCTGGTTCTACCTCTTCGCCATGTTCTTGCTCATCCTCCTCCTCCTCATCTTCACCGCGCTCGCCTTCGTCGTCACCAACAGGGGCGCCGGCCACGCGCTCTCCAATCGCGGCTACAAGGACTACCGCCTCGGGGACTACTCGACGTGGCTCCAGCGATATGTGGAGAAGCCCAGAAACTGGCGCCGGATCGGCAGCTGCCTCAGGGATTCCAGGGTCTGCAACGATCTCGACGGCGATTACAACACCCGGGACCGGTTCTACGCGGCCAATCTCTCGCCAATCCAGGTCAGTCACACGCAATTCCTCCCCAAATCTCATTCTTCTCCCAATTTGGATCCTCTGTTTTTGTCTTGAGTTCTTCCTGGCATTGCACTCCAAATCTTCTCCAATTCCGATCAATGCTCTCGGATTTCTCATCGATTTGTTTTGGTTTCCAGTCCGGATGCTGCAAGCCCCCCACCGATTGTAACTTCCAGTTCCAAAACGCCACCACCTGGCTTCCATCCCCGACCGCGGCTCCCGCGAACGCCACCGAGCGCGACTGCACGACCTGGAGCAACGATCGCAGCCAGCTCTGCTACAACTGCGATTCCTGCAAGGCCGGCCTCATCCAAAACATCAAGTCCAAATACAAGAGCGTCGCCATAGTCAATGCCGTTGTCCTCGTCTTGCTCGTCGTCGTCTACTCCATTGGCTGCTGCGCCTTTAGAAACGCCCGCAGGCAAGGGAACTATGGCCATGGTGGCTACTACTACGGCAAGGCTTAGCTTGTCAACTCCATAGCCATTTCTTCTTCCTCAGTGGAGTGTTTTTCGCTGCTCCCGATATTCTTTTCTTTTCTTTTCATTGTTTTGTATAGCTTGGATTGTTTCTATACGTGAATATCATTGACTTCGAGCTCCTGGAAAACGATCTATGAAAACGCGTTAAGGAGAAGGAAAAGTCGAGAGGAAACGACCACCACGCTTACGCCAAAAGCTTGAGCTTACCTACCTAGAATACACTGTAAATCCGACAAAGTCTTGATTCGATTGTACGAAACCGAGAAACCTTCAAGCGAAAATCAGAACACTCTCGCGATTGATAACTTACATTGCGGGCCTTGTCGCTTGACAATTACTGGAAAGACAAATTGTAGAGTCGTGCTCTCCTGTGAAAGATAGAGGCATCAGATAATGGAGCTAGAGCTTAATTCTCACCTTGCTCTGAGCAACTCTTGACGCTCTAAAGTGAATAATCAGTCTAGCGAGCCAATACTAAAGTAAAAAGTCTCAGCACAACCATACATTTATTAGTATAACAATTATTATAAATTCAAACCATTAGTCTCTCCAGTATTTCAATCATTTGGAGACTCTTGAATAGAACATCCATTGGCAAGAATTTTAGAACAAACTTTCCTTTGGGTAGCCATCGAGTGTAAGACGCTATAAAACCTCGCATCAGTACAGAAAAAGAGAAAAGAAAAAGAGGACAAATCTCATTACCAGCATTCTGTTCCAACCCGGAAGATCCGAAGTAAAAGGAATACTGGGAGACAGGCAGCGAATCGGTGTATACGTAGATTTCTTCATTGAGTTGTTCTTGAAACTTTCGCAGTTCAAGTAGGCTTGTTTAGTTGTCCCAAAGAAAAAGAAAGAAACTCCTGTGATCACTGTGCCTATTACCGTGCACAAAGTGTCGCTTGGGGCAGAATTAGAGCAAATTAAAGAACACGGGGGTAAGATGAACTCGTTCTCGACGTCCGTCTCGACTTTTACTGATCCTTGTTTTTCATGTGTTGTTTTCATATTGACACAGCGCAGTCCAGTTATCAGTGTCTTCAACGGCAAGCGTTTCTCCCCTTCACGCACTCTGTTTTTTTTTTTGCATTCAGCTTGTTTGAGTTGTTTACATTGTTTCTTTTCTATTTAAAATGCCAATGGCGTGCAAGAAGGAGAGACAAACGACACAGTGACACAGTCAAAGATGGTATGCTCAAACCTAGCATCTTCAAACGTTGAGGAAGATGCTAGGTTTGAGCATACCATCGCCTCCCGCCTTTCTTGATCTTACCCTACGGAATCGTCTCATTCGTTTCCAGCAGCCTCTTAAAAAAGGAGCTCGTTTCATGTTTTCCTTGGACATTGAGCTGTGTTGAGTCTTATCATTTTTAAACCTTCAGCTCTTGAGTTTCGACATTGAGAGTTTGCCACGTTGAGCGAACACGAATTCTTCAGATCGTTCTCTTAGATCTTTAGAAGATTCAAAGCTCGCAGCTACAGAGCACTGGCACAAATCTCTCCAAAGCCATGTGTCCACTCCTGGAGCTCCAAAGGAAAAAAAAAAAGAGAAGTAAATCTAGGGTTCTTGGAATGACATTGTGAAATGGGGGATGGCAGCCGCGGCCCTGGCGAGGAGATTCGAGGAGCGCATCAGGGCGTGCGCCATCGGGCGGAAGCTCCACGAAGCCAAGATCCTCCACGACGAGATCGCCCGCAGCCCCCACGGCGACAACCGCCGCCTCACCAATCTCCTCATCGACCTCTTCGGCAAATGCGGCGACCCCGACACCGCGCGCGCGGTGTTCAATCGCGTCCGGCTGCCCAACGAGTACTCGTGGAGCTGCATCATCCAGGCGTACGTGAGCAGCTCCCGGATCCACGACGCGCGCGCCCTCTTCGACTCCATGCCGGGATTCGACGCCTTCACCTGGAACATCATGATCGCGGCCTACGCGCGCATCAATCGCCTGGACGACGCGCGCGAGCTCTTCCACGGGATGATCTCCGGTCGGGACGTGGTGAGCTGGGCGATCCTCGTCGCGGGCTACGCGCGGCACGACCGGCTCGAGGAGGCCAGCGCGCTCTTCCGGCGGATGCCGCTCTGGGACACGGTCACTTGCACGTCGGTCCTCCAGGGATATGCCCACAACGGGCATCTGGCCGAGGCTCAGGAGCTCTTCGATCGGATCGGTGGCGCCGGCGATCGCGACGCCACTGCTTGCAACGCGATGATCGCGGCCTATGGGAAGAACGCCCGCGTCGATCTCGCCGAAGGGCTCTTCGCGCAGATCAAGCTGCGCAATGCGGCGTCTTGGTCCTTGCTGCTCCTCACCTATGCCCAGAACGGGCATCTGGATCTTGCCAAGAAAAGCTTCGATCGGATGCCCCAGCGCGACTCGATCGCCTTCACCGCGATGACCGCCGTGCTCTCCGACCAAGGCGAGCTCCGCGGCGCGAGAGAGATGCTGCGATACCTCTCCGCGGTGGACGTGATCGCGTGGAATGCGCTGCTCGAGGGATATTCCCGGACCGGGGATCTTGACGAGGTGAGGAGGCTGTTCTCCGCCATGGAGCACCGCACGGTAGCCACGTGGACGATCGCGATCCAGGGGCACGCGCAGTACGGCCACGGATCCGACGCCCTGGATCTCTTCCTGGAGATGCTGCTCGAGGGCGTGGGCATTGACGGGCAGACGATGATGGGCGTGCTGGCGGCGTGCGCGCATCTAGGGCTCCTCGATCCGGCGAGGGATTACCTCGTGTCCATGGCGGGCGATCACGGCGTGGCCTGCGATCCGGGCCACTACGGGTGCATGGTGAGCGTGCTGTGCAAGGCCGGGCGCCTCGATCTGGCGGAGGAATTGCTCGACACGATGCCTGTGATCGCAGACGTGGTCGCCTGGACAGCGTTTCTGGATGCGTGCAAGATGTTTGGGGAGGCGGATCGAGGCGCCAGAGCCGCGGGCGAGATCACGCTGCTCAATCCCATGATGTCCTCGGCGTATGCCATGTTCTCCGAGCTCGCATTGAGCGAGCAGGATGAGGAGCTCGACTCGTGGCGGGCATCCAGTCGTGAGATTTGTTGTTCTTGAGGGGAGCTGCCATCGTCGCAGCGCGAGAAACTCTCGAGGTACATTCCGGCAACTCGAGAAGGGAGAGAATCATTTGCCGAATATTCCTAGTTTGAAAAATTGTTCCAACGTTAACTTATGCAGGAAGAAGCTCGAGTGAAAGAAGCTCAACAAGAAGAAGAGAGGATGAAGTTCGAGGAAGCAAGTACTCCGGTTTGTATTTTTTTCTTTTTCCCCGTGAAACGTTTTAAGTGGTTTTTGTAGGAAGTGGAAGCATAAGACTGATGTTATCGTGGAGGCTGCCAGTGTGCGAAAACTACGAGCCCGAGCGGCTGTCATCAATGATCCTTGGCTTGCCGATCCAACACGGACGAACGTACGTTTCTCGAGTCTCAAAGCAGGGACTCGCCAAAGAAGACTTGGACCATTTAAAAACGCATCGAGTCTCGCTTCTCTACAGCATGTGGAAGTTCTTGGACGTGTCGGAAATAGTTTCTCCGGTTCTCAGTGCTAAAAATCCATGGGCGAAAACTATTTACTGGAAACTGGTTTTCTGCATGGGAGACAATTCGTCCAAGGGACGAGGCAGTGAGCTTCCGGCGCAGTGGCTGAGGTCGAAGCTGATCGGAAATCTGGAAGGGAACACAGTAGCATAGTACGTCTCGAGCAACGTCGAAAACGTGCCATTGCGAGATTAATCTCGACAGAAGCTTCCAGCCAAGTATCAACGGGGAAAGCGTTCTCTTGTTCTGGGTTGACGAAGGCTCGCCTCTAAGCAGGATGCGCAGCAAGCTACATTCGCTGGTGGAATCTCTTCCGACTGGGACCTCTGTGCCGCTGTTGGTATTTTCAAGTGGCTTTGGATCAGACGAAGGCGATCTCAACAGATGGCCGCCACCAGAAGAAGAGTTGGCGCTGCTGCTTCAGCTACACAGATTGGACGGCGACAAGATCAGCAGCTGGATAGTTTTATCGACCACTGGGAAAAGCGAACACGAGTTCTACTGCAGTGAGACTCTAGCCAGGGGTATTGAGTGGCTCGCGACTTTAGCGCCGGCTCAGCCAGAGCTTCATGCTGTGGATCTCCGCGACTTGGTGGCAGAAAAGCTCTACTCTACGTTAAACTCGTCACGGGAAGAAACCAAAGCCGGGCCCGGAGACTACGTCTTCAGCAAAGCGCTCCACGACGCTACAGCGGAGGTGACAAATGCCGCTGGAGCTCTGCCGACTGCCTCCCTTTCCTCGTCTTGACGAACGAACCACGTTTGCTCTGGCTCTCTCACCATTGTCGGCGGCGGCTCCCCGACTGCGTGAGAGCTCAATACATGTCTCTACTGGAAGTGTACCTGAGCAAGCTCGGCTACGAAGAACCGGAGGCTAACCGTGTCGCAGCCAGCATTTTGGATGGAGCAGTGAGCCTGGCTGCGCGACCTGGCGTCGGGTGTTCCGGAGCATTTTCTGGACGAAGCTGATGCGTCCCAACAGCGAGCCTCCCCGACGGTTTATCTCTTGCGCGAGATCTCCTTTCACAGAGACGTGGTAGGGGCGTTTGCTTCTCGGCTCCAAGGTGGCAACGTCCCCGAGTCGATCCAGGTGAGTTTTGTAGAGAGATACAACCAGCAGTACACCGAGGCCGAGACTGCCTGTAATACTGCAACTTCAAAGCCAGAGGACGTTATGCTCAGGCACGAGCTCAAGTACCTGAGAAGCGGAGATGAGCTCGAGCTACTTCCGAAGGCCAACCGAGGCACGACTGGACGAGCTAGTGGCAAGGCTGGACAAAAGGCTGGATGAAAACACTCAGGCAGCAGCGACTGGAATGGAAGAAATTCTTCGGCCGTGGACAGGACACGAAGCTGCTCGTGCTCACGCCAGAGGGGATCGACTTGGAAATTTTGGAAGTGACGAGCCCGAGGTCTTCAAGCTCGGAGAGCTACAAGAGGTTTAACGAGCTCTTGAGTAGCTGCCCAGACGCTCATCTCTGGCAAGCTACTTTGGTGTTTTATACTAACTACTTGACAAATGTTTGTAAATGTATTCATTTTTTTTCAAGGAAACCACAGGGTAGCTTTCTGTAGATCGTCTCGTTTTGCCACTGCCAAAGCGTACACTTCCATCTACCCATCGTTATGGAACGTTGTTCTATGTCACCATTGCAATCTCATGGCGTTGCAAAAACAAAAGGAAGTTAGAGAAACCATAATGAAAACTAAAGAGAACATAGACCTGGGGTTGAAACCTCTCAGTTCGTTGAACAAGCATTTTGGTTAGAACAAGCACCTGTCAAACTTCGACTTCCATATCCTTGAACAGCTGGAGTTTTCATGATCGTTGTTTTCATTGAGGTTGGACCATTGTGATGTACGTCTTGCAACTGGATTGAAGTTTTGAAGTCGCAGATGCCCAACGTTGTTTCTCAGCTCGTAGGTCTTGCATTGAGCGCAGCAGCAACATCGCTGACAATCTCTCCAAAATGTTGACACAGAATCTCTCCAATCTCGTAGCATTTTTCTTCTTGGACACAGCGTTTTTTAGTTCTTCTCGTGGTTGAGCAGCACCAAGATGTCACTTGTCTTTTTCATGACAAGAAATTAGAACAAATTGAAACACACACAAACCTGACAACATGAAGCTAAGTATGTGAACTTTCAATGATCGTTAGTTTTGTTCGTATTCACAAGTTTCCCTTCCCGTTGAAAGTTTCTTGGACCGTTGTTTTGCGCTTAGCTTGTTTAACTTGTTTGAGCATATCATCTTAGCTTGACTGTGTCACTGGCTCCCTTTTGCGTTGAGCATACCCCGTCGACAATCTTAATCGAAAAGAAAGAGCGTCTTCAAACGTTGAGAGTTTCAACAAATTCTTGATTGCTTCTAGCCACTCTTTTATCGTTGATCATTCTAGAGCATATTTCTTGCAAATGTCTCTTGTTTCATTGTCTTACTCGCTTATTGCTAACACAAAGAAAACTGAACGAACTTACCTTGCGAGGTGGAGAGGTGCGAGAGTGGACCGGGCCTGTCAAGGATCAGCGACGGATCATGGTTGTTGTTTTCATTGAGGTTGAGCCATTGTCATGTACATTTTCAGCTGGATTAAGTTCTGAGATCGCCGTTGTTTCTCAGCTCGCAGGTCTTGCGTTGAACGCAGCAACAACACAACTCAAAGCGCTGACAATCTCTCCAAAACGTTGACACAAAATCTCTCCAATCTAGTAGCAGTTTTCTTCTTGGCACACGCTGTGACATGGCGTTTTTCAGTTCTTATCGTCGTTGAGCAGCACCAGCATGTCACTTGGCTTCTTCATAACAAGAAATTAGAACAAATCGAAACACACGCGAACCTGGTAACGTGAAACTAAGTATCGTTGATCGTTAGTTTTGTTCGTATTCACACAGCGTTGTCCACATCGGTGAGTTTCCCTTCGCGTTGAGAGTTCCTTGGCCCGTTGTCTTGCACTTTGCTTGTTTGAGTTGTTTGAGCATATCATCTTAGCTTGACTGTGTCACTGGCTCCCTTTTGCGTTGAGCATACCCCGTCGACAATCTCAATCGAAAAGAAAGAGCGTCTTCAAACGTTGAGAGTTTCAACAAATTCTTGATTGCTTCTAGCCTCTCTTTTATCGTTGATCATTCTAGAGCATATTTCTTGTCTCCAGCAAATCTCTCTTGTTTCGTTGTCTTACTCGCTTATTGCTAACACAAAGAAAACTGAACGAACTTACCTTGCGAGGTGGAGAGGTGCGAGTGGACCGGGCCTGTCAAGGATCAGCGACGGATCATGATCGTTGTTTTCATTGAGGTTGGACCATTGTCATGTACATTTTCAGCTGGATTGAAGTTCTGAGATCGCCGTTGTTTCTCAGCTCGCAGGTCTTGCGTTGAACGCAGCAACAACACAACTCAAAGCGCTGACAATCTCTCCAAAACGTTGACACAAAATCTCTCCAATCTAGTAGCAGTTTTCTTCTTGGCACACGCTGTGACATGGCGTTTTTCAGTTCCTATCGTCGTTGAGCAGCACCAGCATGTCACTTGGCTTCTTCATAACAAGAAATTAGAACAAATGGAAACACACGCGAACCTGGCAACGTGAAACCAAGTATCGTTGATCGTTAGTTTTGTTCGTATTCAAACAGCGTTGTCCACATCGGTGAGTGTCCCTTCGCGTTGAGAGTTCCTTGGCCCGTTGTTTTGCACTTTGCTTGTTTGAGTTGTTTGTTGTGTCACTGGCTCCCTTTTGCGTTGCAATCGAAAAGAGGTGTCTTCAAGCGTTGAGAGTTTCAACACGATTTCTTGATCGCCTCTAGCATACCTCTTAGCTCGTTGCAAGCAGCTTCGCTTTAATCTGTCTTACTCCTAACGCAAAGAAAAGCCCTACCTAAACGAACTTACCTTGCGAGGGTAGCCGTTGTCCACGAGCTGCCGCTGTGGCGCCCAGTAGGGAGAACTCGGTGAGGGGAGAGAGGCGAAGCGGCCTACCTGGGGCAGAGTGGAAGGGTCGCGAAACCCCAAGACGCGGCATCCATCACTGCTCTAGCCCTTTATCACCGATGAACCCTAAATTTGAGCTAAGTACCACTGTTTTATATAGACAGGGCAAAAAGGGGAAGTTCTCAATTAGTGCAAAATGAAGAATCTTACAAGCTACTTAATTACTCAAGGAATCCTGCTGATCGGAGCCTGCTGGTTGGCTCTTCCGTGCTGCTGTTGCCAGCACGGGAAGCTTCTGGATCTCAGCCGGCGATAGGATCCGTATGCATCGCACCGTCGTGTTAAACAAACACAACATGAAATGCGTCTCTGACGAGCAGCATGTCGCCTTCATTATCTACGTACACACGTTCAGGTTCTCGTTAATGCCGAACAGATGCTGCAGCTCCTCCAGAAGTTGCGTGTTGCATGTATAATCCCCAAAACTTGGACAAGTCCAAAGCTCGTCACACTGCACCCTGTTTGTGAACTTTTGAAAAGTAGAAGATTCAGAGTCTGGCGCTTCAAATAAAGAATGAGATCTTACTTTGGTGCACGTCCTGCTTGGTTGCTGTTGTTGCTGCTGCTGGTTCCGGTTCTGGCCAGTAAAACACTTCCTGAAGCCGGAAGTTTCCAACTCGAGATCCTTGTGGACGTTGTCTTTGGCGGTGCTGGCCAAAGCTGTCTTTGGTTTCAACGAGACGAGAAACCAAATAGTTTGCACTTGCAGTGAGAATCGTTTGCATTACCTCTCGCAAGGGGCTCCTCACCTCCTGAAAGAACAAAAAAGAGTAGA